GAGGGGGGAGGGGCTAGCGGGGCTGGGGGCCTGGGTCAAAGGGGCCTGGACCTTGGATTCCCCAGGGAGCCCCCACTGAGACCCCATGACTGGGGCGGGGTTCAGGTGCAGGGAGAGAAGGACAAGAGGCAGGCCTGGCTCCGGGAGGGGGGGTGTGCGTGAGGGCTGCTCTTCAGACCCCCAGCTAAGCTCCCATGCGCTTACCTCCCAGGGCAAGTTCATCCGCATCAACTTCGACGTCGCCGGGTACATCGTGGGCGCCAACATCGAGACCTGTATCCTTCCGGCCTGGGGGCCTGGGGGCCCGGGGGCTGCGGGCGGTGCGGACTTCAGCAAGTTCTGGAACCGGTCTGAGCCTCCGTTTCCTCGTCTGTAGGAGGGGCTCCTGTGGGTATAGGAAAGCAGCTGGTGCCCATTGGCGCTCAGGCCTCGGGTCTGCCACCTGTTCTCTCTTAGTCCATGGGCCGACGCTCTATCCACTGAGCCGAACCATCTAGGGCTCAATTTGTTTTTTTATCAGTGGGATTACATTGTAGGTACTGTCCTGCAGGGTTTTGTTTAGTTTTGTTTTGCTGTTTCCACTCGACAATATATCTTGGAGATGGTTGCTAGTTCCCTTTACCGTAGATTGATACATTGTAGGTACTGTCCTGCAGGGTTTTGTTTTGTTTGCTTTGTTTCCACTCGACAATATGTCTTGGAGATGGTTGCTAGTTCCCTTCACCGTAGACTGACAGGTCCCACCCGGATGCAGGGAGGTGGGCACACACCCAGACACACAAAAGGCCCCCATCTCCTGCCCCCTTCTCACTGAGGTGCCCCCCTCCCAGGGCGAGCTGGAGCGGCAGCTTCTTCAGGCCAACCCCATCCTGGAGGCCTTCGGCAACGCCAAGACGGTGAAGAATGACAACTCCTCCCGATTTGTGAGTGCAGGGAGCGCGCTGCCTGGATACCTGGCGCCAAACAGCAGCTGGGCATGAAGAGGGGGGGCGGGAGGGGGAGGCAAGATGT